TTAATGCAACTCGTTCAACTTTTATTTCCTTAGAAGATTGAAGCATAACTAGCCTTTTCTCTATCTTATCAATGAAATGTATCGGATCTTCATCATTAATATCACTCGAATAGGTTAGTGGCTTTAATTTTAAGAACTTCACCATTTAAGGGTCAAACCTCACTAATCGTGATTGGGTGTCGATTCGCGGATGTACTGCTTTACCCAACCTCCGATTAGCAGACACTAAACTTGTCATAACTCGAAAGGTTTACTGAATATCATCGGCCATTATTTCTACAATTTCTGCATAGCACAAAACCCGATCATGATGTCAATCGGCGTCATTATATCAAATTCTAATTCTTCCCTAATGCTAGACTTGCCATGAGATAGTGAAGGTTTAGATGAGGCCTTAGCCTCGGCACATCCCCTATGATCACCTAATATAGTCCTTACCATGGTAGCCTATACAAAATGCAACTTAGTTTAACACATTTCCAAAGAGAAAATTTTAGAAGATAAAAGTAATCAATGTATAATTCATATAATCTCCTCTTTTATTAGGTTTGCTTATAATTAAGAATAAGATAATAATTTTGGGCTTATAAGAAAAAATAACAAATTAACATGAGTAAACCTATGTCAAAGCATTTGTAAATTCAAAAATGTAAAGGACGAACTAAAATTAACACAAAAAACTAAATTGAAAGAAGGAGGCGAAAGGGGCGAAGGAGTAAACATGGCTTGAAGAGTAATTTGACACACTTGTGTGTGTATTTAGAACAAGAAGTCACACGGATAGTAAGGGTAGGCAAAACTTAAATAGAAAAGTGAAACATCCTTGCATCTTTTTTCCCCAAGAGAGGGACACAAATGAAAACATTAAACATGATTTGCACATAAAATTAACAAGCACACATGTTTAGGAAAAAAGGAGACACGAACGAAAGAATAAGAGCTGGGTTATGCTAAAAAATGGACACTCTTATATGTACATTCAGCTTAAGAAAACACAAGGGCGGAAGGTATTAGCATGGTTTAGACACTAAAGTTGTTACACCTATATCTCACCAATAAGGTTGTCATCTAAAGGAAAGAAGAAAAACCATATGGACGGAAGCTTAGAGACACGAAGTTAGAGGGAAAATATGATAAAGGAGAGAATGTAATAACTCTAAAAAAGAGAAAAAAAAAGGGTTGGTATAAAAGGAGCAATAACTACTCCCTTTTTTCTAGATATTTCCCTTTTCTTTCTCTCCCTCTCTCATGCCACTCCCTCCCAAATTTCTACCAATTTTCTTTTTTTAAATCCTCTGCTAAATCAATGTTAAATTAGCTTAGAGAAACCATAAATAAGAAGATTCAAGTGAAGATTAGCTAGATTAGAGTTTGAAAGATCGAAGAAACTATAAAGAAGTCGAGAGAATTAGAGGAAAAGTTTTTAAGGTAAGATTTTGATCCATTTATCTTTAAATTAGAATGTTTATATGTAAGTAGTAATGATATTGAAATATAATTGCATTGGGTTATAAATTGCTTAAGGAATTGATTAGATTAAGGCTAGGGTTCTTGAGATCCATTTAGGGAAAATTTTGATTAAGTGATCCTAAGTGTTTAATTGATATTTAATTATCTTGGATAAGTAAAATAAGAAGTTAATTTGAAATAAAGCTGAGTGAATTTGAGAAATTGAGAGATTGAAGATGATGAATAGTGACAAATTCGAATTTAGGTTTTAATTGGAAAAAATTTCAAGAAAAATGAGGAATTAAGTTATAAAAGTGTAATTAAAGATGAGTAGAGTGATTATTGGGTGAATTCGAATCGAATTGATAATTTAATTAAATTAAAGGTTAATTGATTGAGGGTTGATCTGTTTAAGAATTTGGTTAAAGACTAGTAATGAATGTGATTATATGACTAATTAGAATCAATTGAGGGATAGTTAGGTTACCAAATTGAGAATTTCTAATCAATTTGGTTTTTATTTGATAATTTTATATTTCTAATTATAGAATAATTCATCGTTGGATTATTCCTTACCATGTGATATTGATGGATGATCCATTCTTTTGAGATGCTAGATTCTTCGAAGCAAGTGACTCTATCCTAACTGTCTTAACTTCATTTCGGTTTGCCATTTATACTATGAGTGGATATTATACATTATACTTGTGTTTTACATTCTTGAATTATATATGTCATGTATCATTGAGTTATAAATGATTTAAAAGCATTCCATTAGAACTTAGGTGGAAATGGATTTGAAATGTTTCCATATCAAAATGATTCGATATGAATGGAAAAAAGGCTTTAATGTGTTATTGAAATTGATATGTGATTTCGATTTAAATGATTATGTTATGTTCATTATTTTAAATATGTGTATTTTTTAAAAATGCATGCATGGTATTTAAAATACCAATTTGAAAATGTATAAGTGTTTTTTTATTTTCAAAAATATTTTTGAGACCTTAAGGAACCTAACTAATAGGGGGTAGCCTTTGAGCTCAATGATATAAGGCTTCATCTAGGAGGAGAGGTGTAGTGCTAAGCTGCATGTCGACCAACATATAAAAAGCTAGTCACAAGAGATGTGACTTTAGGTGTTCATACTTAAAGATATGTTACTACCCCATGGGTGTATAAAACTATATATGTATTTTCATATAAATATGATATATGTATGAAAAAAATACGTGACGATTTGATATAAAATGACTTTAAACCATTAGATTTGTGATATGAATTGTGTTTTCGATATGTATGTGTTTTTAAGAAATAAGCATTGCATTTTGACTTAGATTTGAGAACATCGTTTGTAGTCGATTTCTCTTCCTTAGTATATTATATAATGTTTGCTCAACTGAATTGTTGATTGCTCACCCCTTATTATTTCAATTTTATACGATATTGAGGAATTACCTATTGCTTATTTTGGGTTGTCTTTTGTGAAGTTACACTTTGGTCGCATGACTTATTTACTTGTAATTCTTTAGAACCTATGTTTGTTTAAATTTATAATCTTAAATGCTCTACGAGTTATAGTAGTAGGTGTTGTCTTAGAAATTGATTATGGATATTGAATTTGGATATTGAAATGAGAATAGCTTTGAAATATGAATTGTATTAAGGTTGCAAAGGAAATGTTTATTAAGTTATGATAATGTTGATATTTAATGATAATTTGAGTGTTATTGATTTAAGGACTTTAGTATAAGTTTGACATTGATTTAAGGTTTAGTTTAGTGTCCAAGACTTGCTTGGGTCGGGGTGGCTTTACAATTCCCTCGGTCCTCGCATCGATCATGGCCTACTTCTAGGATCATGATAAAAACATAATAGTTTGAGAGTTCGGGTCGGTCTAAGGCTAATACCCCTATCTAAAAGGAAAAAGGTGGGAGAAGTTGGAATTTTGACTAGTCATTAGTGGAGTGAGTTTTTAAAGATGGATAACCTTTTATTAGCATGAGCAACGAGTCATGGGTGACTTCAATCACACAAGTGGAAACGATCGATGACTTCGAGTCATGAATTTAAGAAGCTAATGATAACTTTTTCACACTTGGTGGGAAGCCACTTACCACTTTATTAGATTGAGCAAGGAGTAGATAACTATTTTGGAAGCCATTGATAGACGAGAAAAACGGATGTTAAATAAAAGTTATTTTAAAACCATCAACGACTTTATCACGTAAGTGGGAAGCCACTAGCAGCTTTGTTTTAGCATTTCAACTAGCTACAAAAAGTCACTTAAACCACAAAAATCAACATAAATTTTGCATTTAAGTGGATATGGATAAATAGAAAAATAGGGTAGTTTGTCCTAAAATGGCCATTACGGGAATGTTCACTTCAACCACATTTAAACCATGAATATTTAAACACCATACAAAGATTTCATCTATATTTCAAGGGATTCAAACACTTGTATTCATGTTTTAAGGAGTGTCATAATTTTAGAATTTGTACCCAAAACATTTTGTAGTTCCGATGCTCGATTCAAGGGTTAGTTCTACTTCCTTCTTCTTCGATGATAACTAATTATTTAGTTAGTCGGAGAAAGGAAGTAGATGTCTGCTGTCAAGATGTCATATGGGTCTCGTCAAAGTGATCAAAAATTTCTCCAAAGTCAATATGAATGGCCAAGGTTATTATTACTTGTTAAAGTCATTGTAAATTGGCAAAGTCCCTATAAATTGGCAAAGTTGTTATAACTTTGCAAAATTTCTTAAAACTTGGGGGACATTTGCTACTTTAATTTTCCTATCAAAAATCAACACAAATGCGAGTCTACAACATCATGTTGTTCCCGCCAAACATAATCCAACAACAATAAATTTATTTAGTGTTCTTTTTTTTTTTCGTGATCAAAGAAAAGCAAAAGCCATAAGTTTTGGCTAAATTTTGGCCGGCCTTTTAGTCCGATACGATGGTTGTACGAGATGTATTGTATATGCATTTTAAGGGCTGTTATGGGAACTCGTAGAGAGGCTACTTTAAAGCTACTCTAAGGAGCCGTAGAGAAGCTGTTATGGGAATTGTTTATAGGCTATAAGGAGTTGTTGCTTAGGGAGGTTATAGGGTGTTATTGATGGGCTATAAAGGGCTACTATTTACGGGGTTGTAGGGGCTGTTTTGGGAGCTATATGAAGATTGTTTGTAGGTTGTAAACAAGGTAGTTTAGAGGTTGTTTTGGGGAGAAAAAAGGTTGGTTAAAAAGGTGGGCTATAGGAAGATTGTTTAGAGTGCACGATTTGAACTATTATGGATAAGCTTTAGGAGGCTATTTTGAGTTGTTATTCAAGGGCTAAAGGGATTGTAAGGTGTGCAAAAGAAGCTAGCCAAAAATCGGGGTTAATAGGCACACTAGTCTATAAGCTAACGGACGTACTAGCTTTGTTGGGCATATTGGTAGGCATGTTGGCATGTGGGCTGGTAGGGGCATGCGAGAGAGGGCTGTGTTATTGCAAGGCTACGTGCATGCTAAAGGCTATGGGTTAGATGGCTGCTAGGCTATGCTTGTGGCGTGGCCTAGGTCAGTTGCAAGAGATGCTTCGTTGCGAGATGAGCTATTGGTCGTGAGGCAATATATGAAGGAGGGTTATGGCAAGGATGTTACATGCGAGGGGTTATGGTGATGATGGCGAGAGGGTTGGGAGATATGAGGAGGAGGGGATGGAGGGGCTATAATGGTTTGTTAAAGGGGATGTGTTGTGTGGACCTTAAGAGGAGGAAAAAGTTGTGGATTATATTGATGAGTTTTGAGTGAGAGAGAAGTTACGGTAGTGAGGGAGAGAGAGGTGGTTGGAAGAAGGTTGTGATGAATAGTAAAAAGTATAAAAAAAAATGCATGGGGCTAGGTTTTTATAGGTAGGTTTAGGCTTTTTAGTAAAAGTTTGTTTTGGTCCCCAATCCTCTACCACCCATCAATTCGAGTTTAATTTTTGATTTTTTTTCAATTGAGGCCTTTAAATGCAAATAATTGGCACTTTTCATTTTAAGTTGTTTCAATTATATCCCTCTTTAATTTAAATAAGGAACTGAAGCTTTGAATTTTTTGATTGGGCCCTCAATTGTCTCTTTTTTTATTTCCAAGTTTTTATTTTTTTAAAAAAATTAGCCCCCTCTTAATCTAATTATTTCAATTTTTTTATTTTTTATTTTTATATATATATTGGCATTTTTTTAATCACTTTTTGTTATTTTGCAAAAAAAATTAAAGAAATAAAATCGGAGCAAAAATTAGGTGCTAACATGCATTGTTATTTTGGTAACTCAATTAAGAATTCTTTTTTTTTTTTAAATGAACTGATAATTTAATCTAAAAAATAGTTTTACAAATTATTGGTTATCATTTATAAATAATTATTCATTTGGTTTCAACAGATTAATGTTGAAATAATTTGTAACAAATTATTGACTATAATTATCAATAAAATTTTATAACTAATTAAAATTAGTGAAAAATTATTGATTTAGTTCCAAATAAAGTATTGGAAAAATAATATATTCATTAATGAATTAATTAGTTTTAAATTTTTCATAAATGATTGCAATTTCGTACTAATCATTTCCAATTATTTAAGTATATTTTAGATGATGTTTGGGATAATGGTAAAAAAATAGAGATAAATTATTGAAATATTTATTATAAAAATAATTTGAAGGCATAAAAATAGTTTTTATGAATATTTAATGTATTTATAAATCAAAAAATCAAATTTTAGTAGAAATAGAGAAAAAATAATTAAGGCTTAATATTCTAGAAAATCACAAACTATACACTTTTTAATGATTTTAGCTTGTTCTTTAAAAATTATATAGAAAGATCATCAACTAAGCATCCGATAACAATAATAGCATCTATTCGATTTTTTGACCAAAATTCGATCGGCGCTAACATGGCAATCTATGTAAGCATGACACGTGGACTTTAGCAAGCCACATAGGATCCACATAAGTAGTGATGTGGAAAGTCAATTACGTGAATCCTATGTGGCATGCTAAACTCCGTATGTCATGGTTACATGGATCCTATATGGATTGCTACTGTTCACATGTCATGCTTCGTCACTTACCATGCCGGTATTGATTGGAATTTTGGTCAAAAAATCATATCGGTGCTAATATTGTTATCGGATGCTTAGTTTGTGATTTTTTTTATACAATTTTTAAGGAATGAGCTAAAATCATTAAAACATGTATAATTCATGATTTTTTGAAACATTAAGCCAATAATTAGTAATAATTGATAAGAAATAGTTAAAATTTAATTTAATAAATTTTAAATAAAAAGGAGAGAGAAAAAATTATTAAAATATATCGAGAAAGAGATGAGTAACGTGAGAGCAAACCACATAACAATATTAGCACCAATCTGATTTTTAAACTAAAATTCGATCAACGTTGATATGGTAGTCCACGTAAGCATTACACGTGAACTTTAGCAAGTTATGTAGGATTCACATAAGCAATGACGTGGAAAATCAATTACGTGGATCGTATGTGGCATGCTAAAGTCCAAGTGTCATGCTTACATGAATCCTATGTGGCTTGCTAAAGTCCATATGTCATGCTTTATCACCTCACATGTCATCGTTGATTGGAATTTTGGTTAGAAAATTAGATTGTTGCTAGAATTTTTATCGGATGCTTAGTTGGTGACTTTTCTATATAATTTTTAAAAAATGAGCTAAAATCATTAAAACGTGTATAGCTGGTGATTTTCTGAAACATTAAGCCAATAATTGATAAAAATAATTAAAAAATAATTTAATATATTTTAAATAAAAAAGGAGATAGAGAAAAAAATTATTAAAATATATCGAGAGAAAGGTAAGTAAGGTGGGAGAGAGGAAAATATTTTTCTCTTTTTTAACTCAAAAAACATTTTTTCAAAAATATTCTATCATTTTTTGTTGATTGAAAATAATTTTTTGTTGACTTTTTTCCTAAACGCGAAACAAATATCGAAAAAATTGAAAAAAAAATTAAGTTTCTAGAACTTATTTTATCCAAAACAAACATAACCTTAGCCTCCTCAAAAAGTTTCTTTTTCTGTCCACGGAGACGTGTGAGAAACACAGTATTGAATACAAATGCATGAAAGACTTTGAAATATCAATCCTTCGTAGCTCATTTTATAAGAAAATATCAATCAATAACGCATCGAACGATCGAAACGACAACAACGTAGTAGGAGAATCCTCAGACAAATTAAAAGGCTTGCGAGTGAGTCAACCAGACAGCTTGAGGTCTTGTATGTCAAACTATAGTCCGGTAAGACTGATGTAATTAGGTGGCTAAAAGAGACCCATCATAAAGTTTCCTCAGGTGATTCAAAGATTAGGCGTTCACTCCATCACCCTGCATACCATGAGCATGACTTGGCTTTACGTTTCAAGTAAGATAAATTAGGTGAAGAAATAGCAGCAGCCCTTCTTCAACAAGAAAAAAGAAAAAAATGCCATTGGCGATTTGGCGTGGAATAAGGGGCGTCGAAAACCTTGTCATTGCCATAATCAGCAGACAGAATGAACTAGTTGTTTTTTTTATCATTTTTTGTTAAATAGTTATTTTTTCTAAATTATTTTTTATTAGATGTCTTTTTGTTGCTATAATTTATGATTCTTTCCCAATTTTTTTTTTTTTTGGTTCAGGAAAGATGGAATATCTAATTATATAACCCTATTTCACTTCACTCTCGCGTAGATACATTGCAAGAGTTCACACTCACTCTCTGAAACCCCATTCTACCTTTTTTTATTGCTCAATCAATACCCACAACTACTCCACCACAATGATATTAGAAAGTCAAGGAAACAAACAATGAAGGGCGTTGAAAACCTTGTTCATGCATATTAAACTAAAATTGGCGTGAAACAAGGGGCGTTGAAACCATGGCATTGCCATAATCAGCAGTCAGAATGAACTAATTAAGAATCCTAGAAAGAAAGCAAAGGTGAATGAATGCTAGCTAGCTATCTAATTCATTAGAATTAAAGTCAAGCAACCAATTAGTTTCTTAAAATTGTATGGTTATTATTGAATGTCAAGCAGCATCAAAATGACCTCGTCATCCAAGTCAAACGGGTCATGACAAATCATTAATTACTTCTTCCTTCAGCTTCACTTACCCTACCAACTTTGAATATGCATGTCAATTGATTTTCAGATAAACAAAAAATTTGCTTTGCAATGGGTCTTCTAGAAATAAATTAAGCTTGCTGACGGGGGTGCGTACCTCCTCTAAATGGAATTTAATATAACATCGCAGTTTTTTGTCTTGTATATTCTTACATCTAAGCCTGACATTTGAATAACAGACGTGAACTGCAAACAAATCATGGGAATACCAATGGATTACATGATTCCAATACTTCTCTTTATTTGCTCATCTTTATTGTTGATTTTTGGTACATCCACTGCGATCGACACCATAGACACAACTCAGTCAATTAGAGATGGTGATACAATTGTTTCAGCTAATGGAACCTACAAATTAGGATTTTTCAGCCCAGGAAAATCCGAAAATCGATACTTGGGGATATGGTATGCCAAAATATCTGTCATGACTGTAGTTTGGGTTGCCAACAGAGAAACCCCACTTAATGATTCTTCAGGTGTTTTAAGGATTACTAGCCAAGGAATTCTTGTCCTTGTCAATCAAAGCGGGAGCACAATATGGTCTTCCAACTCATCAAGGTCTGCAAGCAATCGGATTGCACAGCTTTTGGATTCAGGAAACCTTGTCGTGAAAAAGGAGGGTGATAACAACCTAGAAAACTCCTTGTGGCAGAGTTTTGAACATCCAGCCGATACATTGTTGCCTGAAATGAAGCTAGGACGGAATAGAAGAACAGGGTTGGACAGCTACATTACATCATGGAAGTCACCGGAGGATCCTTCAAGAGGCAATGTTTCAGAAATTCTTGTTCCTTATGGATATCCTGAGATACTTGTGCTGGAGAATTCAATTGTGAAACACCGGTCTGGACCGTGGAATGGTCTGCGGTTCAGTGGTATGCCTCAATCAAAACCAAATCCCAAATACACAATTGAATTCGTTTTTAATGAGAAAGAGATATTTTACAGATATCATGTTCTCAGTAGCTCAAATCTTTGGAGAGTCATGGTAGGTCAGAATGGCGACGTTGAGCGCCTCACGTGGATTGATCAAACACAAAGTTGGCTGCTTTATCTCACATTAAATACCGATAATTGTGAACGTTATGCACTGTGTGGTGCAAATGGTATCTGTAGTATTAACAACTCTCCAGTGTGTGATTGCTTGAATGGATTTGTACCTAAAATTCAAAGCGAATGGGAGATGATGGATTGGTCAAGTGGTTGTGTTAGAAGGACTCCACTAAATTGCTCTGGAGATGGGTTTCAAAAGGTCTCAGCTTTGAAGTTGCCTGAGACAAAAACATCATGGTTTAACGAGAGCATGAGTCTTGAAGAGTGCAAGAACAAGTGCTTGAAGAACTGCAGCTGTACAGCTTATTCAAATTTAGACATCAGGGATGGAGGAAGTGGATGCTTGCTCTGGTTCGATGACCTGCTTGATGTTAGAATACTTGTTGATAATGAACCAGACATTTATATAAGGATGGCTGCTTCAGAACTAGGTACGAATTTATCATCTAGAAAAGTAAATGTCTAACATGAAGATTCTTGTAGATATTAACTGTGGTAGAAGGATGCAGATAGCTAATGAAATTTTTTTATGCCATAATAACTAACCAAAGGCATACATAGCATACTGACCTTACCTATTATTGTCTTTTAACTACAGTTCTTCCTCATCCTTGAGTGCAGATAATGGTTATGGCGTGAAGATTAAAACAAAAGTCAATGTGAAGAAAAGGATCATTGGAAGCACTGTGTTGTCTGCTGGAATTCTGCTCCTTGGCCTAGCCCTGGCCTTTTATGTATGGAAAAAGAAGCAGCAGAAAAACAGTACGTTATTCACACCATGAAATTCTACCACTACCATGCCCCCTTCCCTTCTATTTTCAGATAGGCCGTTTAGTTTGTTTTCAGATTTGATCTTTACTAATCCAAGCTACAACCAAAAATTGTTAAAGTGATCATTATATTTGATTTACTGAAGAAATCTGTATTTACAGAAAATAGGCATCCACCTTTTCTTTTCTGCTGGCAGGAAAAAAGACAGGTGTTTTGGAAAGAAGTTTAAATAACAACCAGAGGAAGAAAGACCTGGAATCATTGTTGTTTACTAAGGATACCTTGGCACGTGCAACAAATAACTTCTCTCTTGACAATAAACTGGGAGAAGGAGGATTCGGACCAGTTTATAAGGTACCACTAAACTACTAATAGTCATGCAAGTTCTATGCAACATCGTACTATGATTCTCAACTTTCACAGGACGAAATATTATTTATCTGCTTATGATAATCAGGGGACACTGAAAGATGGACTTGAAATAGCTGTGAAGAGGCTCTCTAAGAGTTCGAGGCAAGGCCTTGATGAGTTAAAAAATGAAGTCAGCCATATAATGAACCTTCAGCATCGAAACCTAGTGAAGCTTCTAGGATGCTGCATTGAAGGAGAGGAAAAGATGTTGATTTACGAGTTCTTGCCTAACAAAAGCTTGGACATCTTTATTTTTGGTTTGGATTTCTAACCAGCACTGATTTAGTTGATAAGTTATGCTTTATTATTAATTCTAACATCATAGAAAAAGTAATTTAAAAGGGAGTAATGCTTAATTTGACATGCATATAAGAATCTGATGTGGACATGGATTGACTTGGGCAGATGAAACACGGAGCTTGCTATTAGATTGGCCTAAGTGCTACAATATTGTCAACGGGATTGCTCGTGGACTCCTATATCTTCATCAAGATTCAAGACTAAGAATTATTCATAGAGATCTGAAAGCCAGCAATATTTTATTAGATTACGAGATGAACCCAAAAATTTCAGACTTCGGCCTGGCCAGAGGTGTTGGAGGAAATGAAACTGAAGGCAAAACAAGGAAAGTGGTGGGAACATAGTAAGTGTTTCCAGCAAACATAGTTACTTCCAATTATGACAAATTCCATCTAACTATCTTAAAATATGTCCAGTGGCTACATATCACCAGAGTTTGCAATCAATGGACTCTATTCACTAAAATCAGATGTCTTCAGCTTCGGTGTATTGGTGTTAGAAATTCTGAGTGGCAAAAGGAATAGAGGATTCTTTCATCCAGATCACAATCTTAACCTTCTTGGACATGTAAGTGTCGTTGCAAGATTTTCTTAATTCTGGTTATGAAATCTCATTTACTAACGTGATTTAGTTTAACAGGCTTGGACACTTTTTACTGAAGGCAGGCCATTGGAACTGGTTGCGGAATCAATGGCTCAAACGTGCAATTTGTCTGAAGTGCTACGTCTGATTCAATTGGGGCTATTATGTGTGCAAGAAAATCCTGAAGATAGGCCAAGCATTTCGTATGTGGTTTTGATGCTAGGGAATGAAGATGAATTTGTTAGAATCCGAGAATTTTCTAGATACTTTAAGTATCCTTTGTAATCCTTGGTTAGTTTAAAAGGAGTGAAACTCCTTATTTTGTGGGATTTTGTTTTGAAATACTTTTTGTAATCCGAGTTGGTATTGCTACGGTAATATGTGCTACGGTACCATGTATATATTTGTACCAGAATATCAAAGTGTGATACTCTGTTTTTGGCTTCTCATGCTCGTTTTACGTTTCCTTCTCTCGTAACTTCTTTTTTCTTCTTATCTTGCCCATGAACTGATATTGTTTACATGGTATCGGAGCTTATAAAGATCTTAAAGGTCCTGTGAGTGACTAAGAGAGAACACCGGCAAGGATTCCTCACCAAAAAACCTTAAAAAACTCAAACCTTAAACTCTCATGGCTTCCAAGCAACACAATGCCTCTTTCACCCCCGAGTTTTCAATGGTGACAACTATCAAGTTTGGGCTGTCAAAATGAGAGCTCACTTGAGAGGTCTTGGTTTGTGGCAATGGGTTGAAACTGAAAAACAAATACCTCCTTTGGGAAACAATCCTACTCTTAATCAAATCGGGGCTCATGAAGAAGAAGAAGCTAAAGCTCCAAGAGCTTTATCTTACATTCATCTTCGTCGTGTCGAATCAATTTTCACAAGGATTATGGCTTGTGAAACACCAAAAGAGGCTTGGGACAAGCTCAAGGAGATGTATATGGGGAGTGACAGAACAAGGCAAATGCAGATTCTGAATTTGAAGAGGGAATTTGAAGTCTTGAGAATGAAAGATAATGAGTCCATCAAAGAATACGTAGATAGGCTCATGGAAGTTGTTAACAAAATCGAGCTTCTTGGTGAGGATTTAACGGACCAAAGGGTTGTAGAGAAAGTTCTCGTAAGCTTGCTCGAAAGATTTGAGTCCAAGATCTCTTCTCTTGAAGACTCAAAGGATTTAACCAAGATTTCCTTGGCGAGCTTGTTCATGCTTTTCAAGCTTAAGAACAAAGAAGATCAATGAGAGAGGAAGACGAGTAGTGAAAAGGCTTTTCTTGCGAAGCAAAAGGAAAAGCTCCTCGAAAGGGAGAGAAGAAGCGAGTTGGGTGAGAACAAAGAGAAGGAGAAGAATGAGGGCCAAGGAAGTAGAAGTGGTGGCAAAAGGAGGTATCCACCATGTCCTCATTGCAAGAGGAAGAGTCATTTAGAGAATTATTGCTTGGTTTAGGCACGGTGTGCAATGCGGATCGTGCAAGCAATTTGGCCATGTAGAGAAGGTATGCAAGAATAAAAAAGATCAACAAGGGCGGCGAGGGACGACAAGCACAAATGGCTGAAACGCAGCGACAACATGAGCGATTGTTTGTAGCTACGAGTCATGCAACAAACAACTATACGAAACTTGGCTTATTGACGGTGGTCGCACAAACCATATAACTCCTGAATTAAGCAATTTCATGGAGTTGGATCAGTCATACAAGTCCAAAGTGAAGATTGGGAATGGAGAATTGGTTGATGTCAAAGGCAAGGGAGTTGTTCTTGTTGAGACTTCAACGAGTATTAAATATATCTCGGATGTATTGTTTGTACCGATATTAGCCAAAGTCCGTTAAGTGTGGGTCAAATGCTAGAGAAGAATTATTCTCTGCATTTTCGAAATAAGTGCTTTGCATCATTATTGATAATGCTTGGTTGTGAGTTGATGACTTGTAAAAATGAGAGAAAAAAGCTTTCCAATTAAGTGGAAAGAGACTGATTTGTATGCTTATACCACTCGTTGTTGATGAGTCTATGTTATGGCATAAGAGGTTTGGTCATTTTCATTATGCTTGCACTCAAACACTTGCATCGGAAAGACTTAGCTAATGGCCTACCAGTCATTAGTGATGAACAAAATGTATGTCAAGTCCGTCAATTTGGGAAGCAAAGCGGATTGCCATTTCACGTTAACAAGGCCTATAGAGCTTCGAAAGGTTGCAATTGATCCATACTGATGTGTGTGGACCAATGAAGACACCTTCTACGAATGGAAGCGAGTACTTCATCTTGTTCATAGATGATTATACAAGGATGTGTTGGGTTTACTTTATGAAGCAAAAGTCGAAGTGGGCTGGTGTGTTTCGGACTTTCAAGGCTTTGGTGGAAAATCAAGCAAATTGCGGCATCGAGGTGATAAGATCGGATAATGGAGCCGAATATACATCGGCTAAATTTGACGGGTTACGTGTTGAAGCTGGAATTGAACATCGACTTATCGTCACTTACTCTCCTCAACAAAATGGAGTGAGTGAGAGAAAGAATAGAACTGCTATGGAGATGGCAAGGTGTCTGCTATTTGAGAAGAAGATGCCTAAGTGTTTTTGGGCGAAGTTCGTTAACACGGCTATATATTTATTGAATAGACTTCCAACCAAGGTTGTGAAAGACAAAACTCCATTTGAAGCTTGGTATGGAGTTAAACCGGATGTGGAGCACCTCAAAGTGTTTGGGAGTTTGTGTTTATACTCATGTGCCGGATGTGAAAAGAGACAAGTCTGGACTACAAAGCTGAGATAGGAATCTTTTGTGGATATAGCTCTACCTCTAAGGGCTATAGAGTTTTCAATTTGAAAAGCGAGAAATTAATCATTAGCGGGGACATCAAAGTTGATGAAGCGACGGCATGGAACCGGGAGAAAAATGAAATAGAAGCCATAGATGTTGATCAAATTGGGGCAACCATACCCCGAGTTCAAGAAGAAGTAGAAGATGAAATTAGGTCCGATAACTTTGATGATGTTCCGATAAAAGGAACAAGGCCACTTGCTGAAATCTATGAGAGATGTGATGTAGTATTACATGAACCTACTTGTTATGATGAAGGCTGTTAAAGAAGATGGATGGAGACTTGCAATGGAGGAGGAGCTAAAAATGATAAATAAGAATAGAACTTGGGAGCTGGTGGAAAAGCCCGAAAATCGGAAGATCATTGGTGTTAAGTGGGTTTTCGGAACCAAATATAATCCAGATGGTTCCGTAAACAAACTTAAGGCTAGATTGGTTGTAAAGGGGTATTTTCAAGAGCATGGTGTTGATTTTTCAGAAACCTTTGCTCCGGTTGCTAGGCATGATACTATCGGGCTTTTAATGGCTTTAGCAGCAAAGATGGGCTGGAAAATTCATCATCTCGATGTGAAGTCGGCTTTTCTAAATGGTGTGCTTGAAGATGATATTTATGTTCAGCAACCGAAGGATTTAAGGTTTCGGGTAGTGAAGAAAAAGTTTACAAGCTCCACAAAGCTCTCTATGGCTTAAAACAAGCACCAAGAGCTTGGTATAGTAGAATTGATGCTTATTTGCTGCAACAAGGATTCAAAAGAAGTGAAAGTGAAGTCACTTTATATGTGATGAAGGTTCAAGATGAAATTCAGCTTATTGTCTCTTTGTATGTAGATGACACTGTTGGTTACGGGTTATAATTCTGAAATCTTGAAGAAATTCATGTTGCGGATGGAGAGTGATTTTGAAATGACCAATTTGGGTGAGATGAAGTATTTTTTAGGCATGGAAATTCACCAAAGTGATGCTTGGAATCTTCATCTCACAACAAAAGTATGCTCCGGAAGTTTTGAGGAAGTTTCATATGGAAAGATCCAAACCGAGTGGCAACTCCATTGATTGTGAATGAGAAATTATCAAAGGATGATGTTGCCGACAAAACGGATGCTTACGTTTACGAAGCCTAATTGGTAGTTTGTTGTACTTATCTGCTACAAGGCCGGATTTAATGTTCTCTGCAAGCTTGCTCTCTAGATTTATGCACTCACCGAGTCAAATTCATCTTGGTGCGGCTAAGAGAGTTTTAAGATATATCAAAGGTACTTTTGATTATGGTTTGTGGTTTGTTAAAGAAGAAAGTAATAAGCTCCAAGGATTTGCGAGATAGTGATTGGGCGGGAAGTATAGATGATTCCAAGAGCACTTCCGGTTATGCTTTCTCATTTGGAAGTGGAGTATTTTCATGGAATTCAAGAAAGCAAGACGTGGTGGCTCAATCCTCGGCGAAGTCGAGTATGTTGCTTGCAGCAGCTGCTGCAAACCAAGCAATTTGGTTAAGAAAGCTGGCGACGATTTGGGGCAAAGTCCGGATGATGCTACTGTAATTTGGGTTGATAACAAGTCAGCCATAGCTATTGCAAAGAATCTCGTGCAGCATGGAAGAACCAAACATATCAATGTGAAGTTTCATGCAATAAGAGAAGCGAGAGAAAAATGGCGAGATCAATCGATTCATTGTCGCTCGGAAAATCAGATTGTCGATATACTAACTAAAGCACTTTCCAAAGCCAAATTTGAAGAGCTACGATCAAGGCTTGGAGTCTCCAAGAAAATTCTCAAGGAGGAGTGTTAGAATGCGAGAATTTTCTAGATACTTTAAGTATCCTTTGTAATCCTTGGTTAGTTTAAAAGGAGTGAAACTCCTTATTTTGTGGGATTTTGTTTTGAAATACTTTTTGTAATCCGAGTTGGTATTGCTACATTAATATGTGCTACGGTACCATGTATATATTTGTACCAGAATATCAAAGTGTGATACTCTGTTTTTGGCTTCTCATGCTTCGTTTTACGTTTCCTTCTCTGTAATTTCTTTTTTCTTCTTATCTTGCCCATGAACTGATATTGTTTACGGAATTGCCTCAGCCTAAACAACCAGGTTTTTTACTGAAAGGGATGTTATTGAACCGAGTAGTCTACCAAGCCACAGCAAACCATCTTCAGAAAACGAATGCTCGATTTCAGTGTTAGAAGCAAGATAGACTTTTTTTTTTTTTTTTTTGCATTGATATGTTATATTTTGAAGTTGTAGTTTTACTTCTAAGTCTCTTTTACGTTTCCTTTCATTTATTTGGTTGGGTATATTTGATAGATTTCGTACGTAAATATAATGTTGAAGTTAACCGATTGATTATTGCTTTTTGTATGCATGTGCTGAAATGTCCATTTGATAAAATCTTATTTTCTTAACGTATTTAAGGCAAGACCGTCTCAGCTGGGTTTGACAGGATTTGCGTAGGTTTTCTTTTG